CAGTGTATATACAAATTGTTTTTTAATCATGTCCCTGTACAGTACTATGCCTTTATAAAGAGCTTTGAACAGATAAGACTTTTTTTTTTTACCTTTTTTCTGACCTCCGGAACAGATTAATTGATTTTCAATGCATTCCTATGGGAACCCGCGTTTTCGGTTTACAAATTCGCAATTTCGCAATACAAATTCGCAATACAGCCTAGAGAACGCATAAAATTTGTAAACCGAGGTACGCCTGTATGCCTATTTTTTTTAATCATGTCCCTGTACAGTATTTATGCCTTTAAAGTGCAGTTTATAAAGACTTTTGAACAGATAAAATACTTTTTCTTACTTTTTTCTGACCTCCAAAACTGATTGCAATGTATTTCTATAGGAAACCGTGTTTCAGTTTACAAATTTTTCGCAATACGAAAAGTCCCGCAGATGGAATTAAATTCGTAAACCGAGGTATGCCTGTATATATATATATATATATATTATTATTATTATTATTAATAATATACAGGATTTATGGCGCCAACAGTGTGCTCAGCTCTTTACAATATAACAGGAGACAATACAGCAACAATACAGTTCAATACAAGAGGGTTAGGGGAGCTTACAATCTAGGAGGATATATATATATCAAAAAAAGTATTTTATCTGTTCAAATCCTGTGTAATAATAATAATAATATATATATAGTGGTTAGCACTTCTGCCTGGCAGCACTAGGGTCAATGGTTCGAATCCCAACCACGGCACCACCTGCCTGGAGTTTGCATGTTCTCCCTGCGCCTGCGTGGGTTTCCTCCTGGTACTCCTGTTTCCACCCACACTCCAAAAGACATGCCGATAGGTTAATTGGATCCTTTATAAATTGGCCCTAGTATGTGTATGTATGAAGGTGAGTTAGGGACCTTAGATTGTACGCCCCTTGAGGGTTAGGGACCTTAGATTGTACACCCCTTGAGGGTTAGGGACCTTAGATTGTACGCCCTTGAGGGTTAGGGACCTTAGATTGTACGCCCCTTGAGGGTTAGGGACCTTAGATTGTACGCCCCTTGAGGGTTAGGGACCTTAGATTGTACGCCCCTTGAGGGTTAGGGACCTTAGATTGTACGCCCCTTGAGGGTTAGGGACTGATGTGAATGTACAATATATATATGTAAAGTGCTGCATAAATTGACGGCGCTATATAAGTACCTGAAATAAATAAATATATATATACACTTTGGGTTAACGGGCAGCACAGCGGCTAAATGGTTAGCACTTCAGCCTGGCAGTACTCGGGTCGTTGGTCCGAATCCCAACCACGGCACCACCTGCCTGGAGTTTGCATGTTCTCCCTGTGCCTGTGTGGGTTTCCTCCAGGTACTGCGGTTTCCTCCTACACTCCAAAGACATGCTGGTAGGTGAATTGGCTCCTGTCTAAATTGGCCCTAGTATGTGTACGTATGAATGTGAGTTAGGGACCTTAGATTGTACGCCCCTTGAGGGTTAGGGACCTTAGATTGTACGCCCCTTGAGGGTTAGGGACCTTAGATTGTACGCTCCTTGAGGGTTAGGGACCTTAGATTGTACGCCCCTTGAGGGTTAGGGACCTTAGATTGTACGCCCCTTGAGGCTTAGGGACCTTAGATTGTACGCCCCTTGAGGGTTAGGAACCTTAGATTGTACGCCCCTTGAGGGTTAGGGACCTTAGATTGTACGCCCCTTGAGGGTTAGGGACCTTAGATTGTACGCCCCTTGAGGGTTAGGGACCTTAGATTGTACTCCCCTTGAGGGTTAGGGACCTTAGATTGTACGCCCCTTGAGGGTTAGGACCTTAGATTGGATGCCCCTTGAGGGTTAGGGACCTTAGATTGTACCCCCTTGAGGGTTAGGGACCTTAGATTGTACGCCCCTTGAGGGTTAGGGACCTTAGATTGTACTCCCCTTGAGGGTTAGGGACCTTAGATTGTACGCCCCTTGAGGGTTAGGGACCTTAGATTGGACGCCCCTTGAGGGTTAGGGACCTTAGATTGGACGCCCCTTGAGGGTTAGGGACCTTAGATTGGACGCCCCTTGAGGGTAAGGGACCTTAGATTGTACGCCCCTTGAGGGTTAGGGACCTTAGATTGTACACCCCTTGAGGGTTAGGGACCTTAGATTGGACGCCCCTTGAGGGTAAGGGACCTTAGATTGTACGCCCCTTGAGGGTTAGGGACCTTAGATTGTACACCCCTTGAGGGTTAGGGACCTTAGATTGTACACCCCTTGAGGGTTGGGGACTGATGGGAATGTACAATATATATGTAAAGTGCTGCGTAAATTGACGACGCTATATAAGTACCTGAAATAAATAAATGTCAAGATTAATAGGGATGGATGGGTGAGAGTGTTTATTCATTTTTTAAATGAACCAAAATGTTGTGATCAGAGCTGGAATTAGGGCTTATCTGGCTTCCTGGAGTTTTATTGGTGGGATATAAGATCCTTTACTGCCTGGCAAAAGTCCAAGATCCCTTACTGGCATACCTCTGGGTGGGCCCCTTGCCCTGCTGCGATGGGACAGATGTCCTATTGGACTGTCTGGTAAAATGATCCTGTTACCACATAGGAAAATTGGAAGCAATCACATTATGAATGTAGATGTTGATTGTGGAAACACTGGACCTCTTGAGTGGATGAAGAGAGGTAATCTAAAAATGTCACTGTTCATGGTTGGAAGCAGTTCTCTTTCAACTAGGACAAGACAAACTGGTCTTCAGGTGGATTTATGGAGTGTTAGAAGGATCTGTAGGAGGGGTTCTGCATTTGAGGTAGTAAAACAGCCAACAGACTTAGATTGCTGATATGAAGATCCTGTTTATGAAGATGTATTCTATAAAATGATAATGGCATGACTTGCGTCTGATGAGCTTGCAGATTTTTTTGCCCTTTGGTGTTACCTCATCTTCAGCCTTACCCAACCCAATCTGATTCTTCCCTTGAAATCAGAGGGTATACCTGCAAAGTTTTAGCATACCTACAGATATTCATTGCTCAAAATGTAACTAGTAAGATTGAATAGTCAACTCATGTCAGTTGGTGCTTTTATAGGGAGCACTGAATTCTCTCCGGTCATTTCCTCCCCTGAAAGAACAAACTCCAACCCATCCAATCATTGGACAACAGAGATAGAACATTCAGAAAAAGCCCCCAAAATGTACCAGTTTTCGGTTTGGTAGCAGAGTCATTTTACTAGATGGTCCAAAAGGGCATCTGTCCCACCCCACCAGGACAAGGGCGCACCCAGAGATACGCAAGTAAGGGAGCTTGGACTATTCTAAGGGCAGTAAAGGAGCTCATATCCTATCAAAAAAAACTCTAGCAACTCTAGCAACTCTAGGAAACCTCTAATTCCAGCTCTGACCCCAAAATGTTGATCCATTAAAAAAAATAAATAAGGTGTGATGTTTTTTATCATTCATCCATCCCTCCTATACTTGACCTTAACCCAAAGAGGTTTATATGAGACCTCAGAGCTGTTATAATAACCTCATTTTCCAAAAAATTCTGAATGTTGGGTACCCTCAGCTGAGGCAAATTGTGTGCCAGGGATTCATACAATGACCTGGATAGGAGCATTAGATCATTAGATCTTCATCTTGATGGTTGGTTGTTGAGTACTACTACAACTTTTCTGCACCCATAAACTCAGAATGAAGTACAATTGCATCAAAATACTTTGGATTGCATGACTTTTGAGTCTGTCTTGATTCTTCCAGTTCAGTTCTTCTCTCTCTCCGTGACGGACATCATCCATCTCCTCCAGGTGTCCCCCATTCCCCAAACTAACATCAGAAGATCTCAGTAGGGGGGACGAATGGAAGACATTAACTCTCAAGGTCCCCCCCTCCTCTTCCCACCTCTAATAGGGCTCTTAGCAGTCATCCATGTGACGCTATTATCCGAAGGGAAGTCTCCACGCGAGCTCTTCCCTGGTGCAGAGAGGAAAAGGTCGCTTCTTACTGATCCTGAAAAGAATTCCTCCAGAAATGAGTTCAGCAGAGTCCCACCACAGTAGGGAAGACAGTCCTAATATTGATTAATACAGCTGGAGCCACCTGAACTCATTTGGGGGGACTCTAATGTTGACTGGAAGGGTAACACATGGTAAATAATTAGCAGATGAGCCCCAGACATATCCACATGTTCCTCTCAGTGTTTTATTGACATAAGGCGAATAGGAAATGCGGTCGTTGACGCGCACATCAATCACTGTGGTGGAGACGCACTCACCTGACAAGACCGGGACTATTCATTATCACAGTACATATGGGCCTTTGCTAAATTATATATAATACCATCATCGCATTAATGAGCGTAGTTATCGCTGTGTGATTTATGTTCTGACTTCCGACTGCTCCTGTCTATTATCTCTGACAAAACCTGTTTCTTAGCCGTAATATAAATCATTGCTTTCACTCTGACTTTCACTAGATGTACACGGGGAATAGGGGACAGGACTGAGGTTAATAAATTGTTATCATACCGCAGGCGCCAAGTGTCTGATTTCCAGGGACAAGCCCAGACCTTGGACATCTGTCCCGGCAAGGTTCCTGCTTCTATATGTAAAGTACGCATGGTTATATTTACATTTTTATTCTATATAAGTAGGTGGGACTTGGATTAGTGGTCACTGGAGAGGCCCCATACAGTGGAACATCCTGATTCAGAATGGATGATGTGAGTTGGACTTTCTCCAGGCTTCCTTTAGAGGTTTATGAGGGTTCCTTGACTAACCTGTAATTAAACCACTAATGTAACGGCCATTTTTTTACAGCTTAACACCAATTTGATGTCCTTGTCCCATGCTTTCCATCTGACCACCAATGTAAAAGAGGGCCTTCTTCACAGATCAAAAATGTAAAGGCCATTCTTCAGCTGTCCACCAATGTGAGGGGTCACTTGCCCCACTGACTATGAATGTAAGAGGCCCTTCTCCACTGACCACCAATGTAAGGAGCATTCTTCCCTCTGACCACCAATGTAAGGATCATTCTTCCCACTGACCCCCAATGTAAGGAACTTTCTTCCCACTGACCCCCAATGTAAGGGACATTCTTCCCTCTGACCACCAATGTAAGGGACGTTCTTCCCACTGACCCCCAATGTAAGGGACGTTCTTCCCACTGACCCCCAATGTAAGGGACGTTCTTCCCACTGACCCCCAATATAAGGAGCATTCTTCCCACTGACCCCCAATGTAAGGAACTTTCTTCCCACTGACCCCCAATGTAAGGGACATTCTTCCCACTGACCACCAATGTAAGGGACATTCTTCCCACTGACCCCCAATGTAAGGGACATTCTTCCCACTGACCCCCAATGTAAGGAGCATTCTTCCCACTGACCCCCAATGTAAGGAGCATTCTTCCCACTGACCACCAATGTAAGGAGCATTCTTCCCACTGACTCCCAATGTAAGAGACATTCTTCCCACTGACCCCCAATGTAAGGGACATTCTTCCCACTGACCCCCAAAGTAAGGGACATTCTTCCCACTGACCCCCAATGTAAGGGACATTCTTCCCACTGACCACCAATGTAAGGGGCATTCCTCCCACTGACCACCAATGTAAGGGACATTCTTCCCACTGACCACCAATGTAAGGAGCATTCTTCCCACTGACCACCAATGTAAGGGGCATTCTTCCCACTGACCACCAATGTAAGGAACATTCTTCCCACTGACCACCAATGTAAGGGGCATTCTTCCCACTGACCACCAATGTAAGGAGCATTCTTCCCACTGACCACGAATGTAAGGAACATTCTTCCCACTGACCACCAATGTAAGAGGGCCCTTCTCCTCTGACCACCAATGTAGACCAGACATTAACCTATCTTGGTTCCCGTTAGATAGTAAAAAAACCCCCAACAAAATCTACATCCGAAGAAGCTGCAGATCACCGATGGTCATTCAGGAGGGTCAGCAGGCAAGTTCACAGGAAGTGAGGCTCAATAAAACTTCAGCAGCAAGTCTGAAGAGGAGAGCTTGCTTTCAGAAGCTGAGAATACGTCGCCAGCTTGCAGCTCTCAAGGGCCTGGTCATCTTTAATTGCCTGAGTCTAATTCAATTCATTAGGTAGGCAGTTAGTGGAGAACAATGATGAATACTCCTGGGGCTCCTTGTAATGGGAGAAGTCACATATTCCGTATATCTCTCTGACTAGACACTGAGCTCATCGCTGGCTTCAATCTCCAGCAAGAGGTGTCTCACTCATGCCGCTGATCTCACCAAAGGGGGCTGCGCTGCTATCGCTAAAACCCCCTCATAAATAGCCGGAAAGCCTCACGTCTCTCACAATAGGCCATCATCCCCGTGTGCCGGCACAGACTTGGCCAATAAAGCTCATTCGGATATTCTCTGGGTTCTGGACGGAATGTTTTATTCTCCATAGTAGGAGGCCATGGTGGAGGCTTCCAGCCAGTCTGCGAGGAGGAGGTCATCATCTCACACCTCCAACATATGGCGCCCAAGGAATGAGCGAGTGTCCCTGGCCAGGCCGCCATCTTCCATATGGATACGAAGACATTATCGTCAACATTTACAGAAACAGAAGATCAGAAGAAATGGCTGTAACTTGCCGAGCCGAAACGAATGAGAAATTTGGACTAGTTTACACCAGCAGTAGCTCCCTGAAGAGTGTTCCATGGTGGATTGCTTCTCAGAGGGCATTTAACCCCTAAAAACCTGCACCATCATGCTGCTGCACCTTGGCATGGCCCCATTTACCTGAATGGGTAACATTTGACAAACTTCCCACAGAATGTGAAGGGGGTTTGTACACCACAATGCATGCATTGCAGCCGCCACATGTGTACAACTTGGGGAGAGGCAGGAAAACTGCTCAACCCAAAAACACTGTTCAGACGGGAGATAGAGAGATACAAAGTAACATTGTTTATAAACATCGATCAGACGGGAGATAGAGAGATACAAAGTAACATTGTTTATAAACATCGATCAGACGGGAGATAGAGAGATACAAAGTAACATTGTTTATAAACATCGTTCAGACGGGAGATAGAGAGATACAAAGTAACATTGTTTATAGACATCGATCAGACGGGAGATAGAGAGATACAAAGTAACATTGCTTATAGACATCGATCAGACGGGAGATAGAGAGAGTATTGTTTATAAACAAAGTAACATTGTTTATAAACATCGATCAGACGGGAGATAGATACAAAGGATAGACATCGATAAAAAGTACAAAGTAACATTGTTTATAAACATCGATCAGACGGGAGATAGAGAGATACAAAGTAACATTGCTTATAGAGAGATACATCGATAACAGATCAGACGGGAGATAGAGAGAACATTGCTTATAGACAATCAGACGGGAGATAACAAAGTAACATTGTTTATAAACATCGATCAGACGGGAGATAGAGAGATACAAACATCGATAACAGATAGAGAGATGTTTGCTTATATAGACATCGATCAGACGGGAGATAGAGAGATACAAAGTAACATTGTTTATAAACATCGATCAGACGGGAGATAGAGAGATACAAAGTAACATTGTTTATATCGATCAGACGGGAGATAGAGAGATACGTAACATTGTTTATAAACATCGATCAGACGGGAGATAGAGAGATACAAAGTAACATTGTTTATAAACATCGATCAGACGGGAGATAGAGAGATACAAAGTAACATTGTTTATAAACATCGATCAGACGGGAGATGGAGAGATACAAAGTAACATTGTTTATAAACATCGATCAGACGGGAGATGGAGAGATACAAAGTAACATTGTTTATAAACATCGATCAGACGGGAGATGGAGAGATACAAAGTAACATTGTTTATAAACATCGATCAGAGGGAGATACAAAGTAACATTGTTTATAAACATCGATCAGACGGGAGATGGAGAGATACAAAGTAACATTGCTTATAGACATCGATCAGACGGGAGATGGAGAGATACAAAGTAACATTGTTTATAAACATCGATCAGACGGGAGATGGAGAGATACAAAGTAACATTGTTTATAAACATCGATCAGACGGGAGATGGAGAGATACAAAGTAACATTGTTTACACACCAGTCTCACCAGTGTGATCGGGGGCTAAGACTCCATTTCCCACCAAGAGCTGACCCTGAGTCACTGACATCTGAAGTCAGCCCCAATGTGGTAAGATGGTCTTGGATCCAGGGACGTCCCGCCGCCCATCGTGCTCAGTGCGCACTTTCATTCCAGAACGCAGCAGCGTTGAAAGTTTTCACTCATTACATTCACAAGAGTTATAAATAAAAAATAACGCGCGGAATTTACTATTTATACAAACACTAATAATTCCAGCAACCGGCCCGAACTCTGAGACTTTTCAGACGTCAAATACTTCAGCTTTTGGCGCTCCACCAAAAAAGCTGCTGGCAACTTCATGACCTGAACTGGATTTCTGTGCATTTACAAGTCTGCAGGAACAAATCGCTGACGTGACACCAAATACAGCAACAGGATCATTTATCAGAGAAAACGCCATCTTTTATCATTAAAAAATGTCCTCGAGGCTCCAGTCAGTGACTCTGCCTAGGCTCAGATGATGTCATCAGTCTGCTGCAGGCAGGAGGAAGCATTTCCTCAGTGCCCCCCCCCCCCCCTCCCCAGTGATCAGACTGCACATTGTAACTTTGTAGAAGGAGGGGGAAGCAAAGGGGAGGTCTTCATGGGCTTCCTGATCATTTGATTGGCTGTCACAGAGATCGCCTGTTGTAGCCACTCCTGATCATTGTCCTGTGAAAGGGAGGCTGAAAAAATGGTGACCAATCGCACACAGGACTCCATCTGACTGCGACCAAAACTGGACCATCAATGTAAGCTGGCTTCATCTCTGCTGTCAACCCGCAGGAGAGGTCCCTCCAACGCGTTTCGTCCTTCAGTCATGAGCCATCTTTAGACCAAGCGCCTTTTCTGACAATTTTTTTTGTTGCTAGAAAATGACTTAGAATATTATATATTTGTTTGGAAGCAGAGGCCCTGGAGAATACAATAGGGGGTGTGTTTTTTTTGGGGGGGAAAATACACTTTTTTGAATTTTAATGCACAGAAACACAATATGATACCCAGTTGTTTGTTAAAAAATATAAAAGATGATGTTACGCTGAGTAAATATAGACCTGACATGTCACACTTTAGGGGTCGGTTCACACTATAGAAATGCAGTCCAGATGCATTCCAGATGCGTTTCTACATGTGCGTTTTTGACACATTTTTGGCATGTTCCGGTGCATTTTTTATTCTTTTTTTATGCATTTCTGGCTTGTTCTGGTGCATTTTTATTCTTTTTGATGCATTTTTGTCATATTCTGGTGCATTTTTATTCTTTCTTATGCATCTTTGGCATGTTTCCGTTAATTTTTTATTTTTTTTTTTATGCATTTTTAGCATTTCCGCATTTTTCTTCTTTTTTTATGCATTTTTAGCATGTTCCAATGCATGTTTTCTTCTTTTTTTATGCTTTTTTGGCATGTTCCGGTGCATTTTTTCTTCTTTTTTTTTATGCTTTTTTGGCATGTTCCGGTGCATTTTTTTTCTTCTTTTTGATGCATTTTTGGCATGTTCCGGTGCATTTTTTATTCTTTTTGATGCATTTTTGGCATGTTTCGGTGCATTTTTATGCGTTTTTGCTGTGTTCCAGTGCATTTTGGAGGGTTCCAGTTCATTTTTTCCCTTTCTTTTTTATCAATTTAAATAGGAACATGTGCATTCCAGTGCGTTTTTGGTGCATTCCCGTGCATATCTGGTGCATTTTACCACATTCCAGTACAGTTCTGTGCAGGAAGAATGCCTGTTCTACTTTTTTTTTCTGCATCCGGAACGCACTGGAACTGCAAGCGCTGATGTGAACTATGACATTGACCATCATATATCCTACTTTCTGTGCGTTTTGGATGCAGAAAAAAAGCAACTGAAACGCATGTAGCGTGAACTGGCCCTAAAACTCCCGTGCAATGGTGACAAGCAATGTACATTTTATTGTCCATAGGGGACACTTTAAAAGCCTTTTACAGGTGACCACTTTATATTTACACAGGAGGTCTGGTGCTAGAAATACTTCCCTCGATCTGACGTTCGCGATGATACCTCACATGTGTGGGATGATTGTTGTTTACTCAGGTGTGGGACCAATGCATGCGTTCACTTTTGCATGCAAACACAGGGGGGGGGGGGAATAGGGGTTGCTTTAAAAGTGTTTATTTTATTTTACATTGTTGCTTTATTTTTTTTTCCCACTTTTATTGTTATCAAGGGGAACATAAATATCCCCTGTGACAGCAATAGGCAGTGACAGGTACTCTTTACTGAGAGATCTGGGGTCTCTTCTCTGCCCTTCACAGAACACAATCACACCAAGATCGGTGCGATCAGATGCTTTCCCAATTTAAAAATGGCGGTGTTTAAATCTTGTCATATCAGAAGTGATGAAACGCTCATTGCTTTCAGTTTCTGGGACCATAGAGATGAGCAGAGCGGCCAGTCTCCCATTACCTCTATGGGATGGATGCTTGGGTCTCCCATTACCTCTATGGGATGGATGCTTGGGTCTCCCATTACCTCTATGGGATGGATGCTTGGGTCTCCCATTACCTCTATAGGACGGATGCTTGGGTCTCCCATTACCTCTATGGGACGGATGCTTGGGTCACC